TTTTAAAGCAGTGAATTTGTGTTTTTTAAAGCAGTGAACATATATGTGCAAAGGATTCCAGAGCAGGCTTTCGTTTTCAGTGAAAACACGTCGAATGAGCCTTATTTCATTAAAATCGAAAGTGAAGTAGCGATTTTGAATAAATATTGACTAAAATACGTATATATAGCGCTATATTAAGTCATTATGACAGATTTCCTAATCTCAATAGTCATCAACTTTAATGCTTAATATCTCAAATCATAGGGCAAAGTGACACTTTTTTTGTCACATTTTTGTTTCATGCAAAAACGCGTCGAATAAGTCTTATTTCATTGATTTTTGAGCTTCGGATGCTAAACTGAATAATTACCATTTAATCTGTATAGTATTACGTTTCAGGGTTATATATTTTTTTTACAAAAAATATCACAAATCATATTGCGGAATCCAAAGGATAATTTTTGGATCTCTTTCATGTTTCACTAAAAATTTCACAAGGACTCGAAACAACACAGCACCAGGGAATAAGTCTGAAACGCAATATTATAAAGATTAGATATTTGATAAAGAGATGCAATTGCTTTACAGTTATTTTGCTCAACATGTTTCTTTTGTGACTCAGCATACTTTGCTGAAAATCATGTCAACTGCTGAACAAACATGTTGAAAAGTTGAGTGCGTCTAGGACCATTCAGCAGACAATCATAAAATTTGCAAAGGTTGCAAAACTGAATAATTACCATTTAATCTGTATAGTATTACGTTTCAGGGTTATATATTTTTTTTACAAAAAATATCACAAATCATATTGCGGAATCCAAAGGATAATTTTTGGATCTCTTTCATGTTTCACTAAAAATTTCACAAGGACTCGAAACAACACAGCACCAGGGAATAAGTCTGAAACGCAATATTATAAAGATTAGATATTTGATAAAGAGATGCAATTGCTTTACAGTTATTTTGCTCAACATGTTTCTTTTGTGACTCAGCATACTTTGCTGAAAATCATGTCAACTGCTGAACAAACATGTTGAAAAGTTGAGTGCGTCTAGGACCATTCAGCAGACAATCATAAAATTTGCAAAGGTTGCAAAACTGTTGCATCATGTTGAACACACCCTATATTAATCCAGCAATATTAACAATATATGATCAGTAATATTGTCAGTATTTGGTATTACTGCTATCGTGTAGGGTTACCTTAAGTTATTTCAAGTATTCACTTTAAGAAATTCTTTTTGATCTTTGTAGCTAAAATTACAAAATATACAAAATTTTTTAGACATGATTTTTTTGAGATCACCCCTTCCTCCGCTCCAATTCCGGTAATGGTACTTGTGCAAAACTAGATATATGTATAAATATAATAAATATGTTCAATATATGCCTTATCTTGCTGAAGGATCTTCCTATAATCTTTTTGTTACCTGGTAAAAAACTTTTCATGCATGAATGTATATAAATATGTATAAACATACATAAATATGCATAAATATTCATAAATATGTATAATTATATATGAAATATGTCCATATATGTTCATACATCCTATTTTTCTTTTATAAAATTACTTTTTAGTGTAATAGAAATAATAATAGTAATGTGAAAACATTAAAAATAATTATAAAGGTAATTTTCACACTATTTGTTTTAGAAAAAAATCAAATTTGAAGAAATGTAAAAAAATTAGTTATGTATAATTATACATAAAATTATGCATAATTATGTATGAGCAATTTTTTTACATTTTTCTAAATTTGTTTTTTTTTCTAAAACAAACAATGGGAAAATTATCCCTTTAATTATTTTTTATGTTTTCACATTACTATTATTATTTCTAATGGCTGCTGTACAATGTGCTTTTTGTTTCCTGTTTCTTGCTGTTTGTCTCTTGCCTTTTTAATCAAGAAGGCAAGAGACAAACAGCAAGAAACAGGAAACAAAAAGCACATTGTAGAACAACCATAATACGCTAAAAAGTAATTTTACGAAAGAAAGAAGGATGTATGAACATGTATGGACATATTTCATGTATAATTATACATGTTTATGAATATTTATGCATGTTTATACATATTTATTCATGCATGAACATTTTTTACCACACAGGTATTTATTATTTTTAATATATTGTACACTAATTTACGAGTAATAAAGCAAAGATTTAGGCTAATTCTACAATGTTTTTTTTGTTTCCTTGATCAAGAAGGTAAACAGCAAGAGACAAACAGCAAGAAACAGGAAACAAAAAGCATATTATAGAATTAGCCTTAAGGCATTTGTGAATGTGGACCACAGAGCATGCACACGTGATCCTCAGTGCATACATTTATATTGATATGATAGCTTTCATAACCTCTTTTAATAATAGTAAACTTCTACAATTAATATCTCGCTTTGCGGAGCAGAGCAACTTTTTCTGCCAGATTTTTCGTTTCTTGCGAAAACGTGATAAATGAGTTTAACTTCATCAATATTGGAGGAGTGGGCTAAAGAAAACATTTACCTTAAAACCTCGTTTTTGTGCAAGATGGAATCGAATCAGTACCTCTATTACAATTTAAAGTAGAAAGGTTATAAAGTAAACATTTACATCTATTTATTTTATAAAGTAACTTTGTATAAAATATTTAGACATACGTTAATGTTATTCTCCGGCAATTCAATAAAAGAATCATCGCTGTCAATTTCATGACAATAATCATCCACGTTAAAATCTATATCTTTGTCGTCTTGTTTATTGGGCATTTCGATGTCACTTGAATCACTTGCTCCTTCGCTCATCATACTATTTCTTTACCTTTAAGTTTACAAATTACGTTCGTTAGTTGTTCTTTTTAGAACTATTCCACGCTAGAAATATGTCGTTCATGAACGTTCCGTTCACTTTGAACGGATCCTTTAAGCCTATCTCACATGAAATGCATAACAGAGCTTAAGCATAACATAAAACTGTTGGACCAATGAGCATCCAGCATAAAGCGGGGAGCACAGCCTCTTGCATAACGCATAACACATGAGGCATAAGAAATTGAATCAACCAGAGTTCTCTTTTACATGGAAGGGAAAGAAACGGAGAACTTCGATTGGTACATATTCTTATGCATTACGTGTTATGCGTTATGCAAGAGTTTGTGCTCCCCGCTTAAAGCGGGGAGCACAGACTCTTGCATAACGCATAACAC